TCCTGTCGGTCCCGGTTCCCCCGGTTCGGTCCCGGTTCCCGTTGGTCCCTGTTCCTGTCGGTCCCGGTTCCCCCGGTTCGGTCCCGGTTCCCGTTGGTCCCTGTTCCTGTCGGTCCCGGTTCCTGTCGGTCCCGGTTCCCACTGCTCGGTCCCGGTTCCCGTCGGTCCCTGTTCCTGTCGGTCCCTGTTCCTGTCGGTCCCGGTTCCCCCGGTTCGGTCCCGGTTCCCGTTGGTCCCTGTTCCTGTCGGTCCCGGTTCCTGTCGGTCCCGGTTCCCACTGCTCGGTCCCGGTTCCCGTCGGTCCCTGTTCCTGTCGGTCCCTGTTCCTGTCGGTCCCGGTTCCCCCGGTTCGGTCCCGGTTCCCGTTGGTCCCTGTTCCTGTCGGTCCCGGTTCCTGTCGGTCCCGGTTCCCACTGCTCGGTCCCGGTTCCCGTCGGTCCCTGTTCCTGTCGGTCCCTGTTCCTGTCGGTCCCGGTTCCCCCGGTTCGGTCCCGGTTCCCGTTGGTCCCTGTTCCTGTCGGTCCCGGTTCCTGTCGGTCCCGGTTCCCACTGCTCGGTCCCGGTTCCCGTCGGTCCCTGTTCCTGTCGGTCCCTGTTCCTGTCGGTCCCGGTTCCCCCGGTTCGGTCCCGGTTCCCGTTGGTCCCTGTTCCTGTCGGTCCCGGTTCCTGTCGGTCCCGGTTCCCACTGCTCGGTCCCGGTTCCCGTCGGTCCCTGTTCCTGTCGGTCCCTGTTCCTGTCGGTCCCGGTTCCCCCGGTTCGGTCCCGGTTCCCGTTGGTCCCTGTTCCTGTCGGTCCCGGTTCCTGTCGGTCCCGGTTCCCACTGCTCGGTCCCGGTTCCCGTCGGTCCCTGTTCCTGTCGGTCCCTGTTCCTGTCGGTCCCGGTTCCCCCGGTTCGGTCCCGGTTCCCGTTGGTCCCTGTTCCTGTCGGTCCCGGTTCCTGTCGGTCCCGGTTCCCACTGCTCGGTCCCGGTTCCCGTCGGTCCCTGTTCCTGTCGGTCCCTGTTCCTGTCGGTCCCGGTTCCCCCGGTTCGGTCCCGGTTCCCGTTGGTCCCTGTTCCTGTCGGTCCCGGTTCCTGTCGGTCCCGGTTCCCACTGCTCGGTCCCGGTTCCCGTCGGTCCCTGTTCCTGTCGGTCCCTGTTCCTGTCGGTCCCGGTTCCCCCGGTTCGGTCCCGGTTCCCGTTGGTCCCTGTTCCTGTCGGTCCCGGTTCCTGTCGGTCCCGGTTCCCACTGCTCGGTCCCGGTTCCCGTCGGTCCCTGTTCCTGTCGGTCCCTGTTCCTGTCGGTCCCGGTTCCCCCGGTTCGGTCCCGGTTCCCGTTGGTCCCTGTTCCTGTCGGTCCCGGTTCCTGTCGGTCCCGGTTCCCACTGCTCGGTCCCGGTTCCCGTCGGTCCCTGTTCCTGTCGGTCCCTGTTCCTGTCGGTCCCGGTTCCCCCGGTTCGGTCCCGGTTCCCGTTGGTCCCTGTTCCTGTCGGTCCCGGTTCCTGTCGGTCCCGGTTCCCACTGCTCGGTCCCGGTTCCCGTCGGTCCCTGTTCCTGTCGGTCCCTGTTCCTGTCGGTCCCGGTTCCCCCGGTTCGGTCCCGGTTCCCGTTGGTCCCTGTTCCTGTCGGTCCCGGTTCCTGTCGGTCCCGGTTCCCACTGCTCGGTCCCGGTTCCCGTCGGTCCCTGTTCCTGTCGGTCCCTGTTCCTGTCGGTCCCGGTTCCCCCGGTTCGGTCCCGGTTCCCGTTGGTCCCTGTTCCTGTCGGTCCCGGTTCCTGTCGGTCCCGGTTCCCACTGCTCGGTCCCGGTTCCCGTCGGTCCCTGTTCCTGTCGGTCCCTGTTCCTGTCGGTCCCGGTTCCCCCGGTTCGGTCCCGGTTCCCGTTGGTCCCTGTTCCTGTCGGTCCCGGTTCCTGTCGGTCCCGGTTCCCACTGCTCGGTCCCGGTTCCCGTCGGTCCCTGTTCCTGTCGGTCCCTGTTCCTGTCGGTCCCGGTTCCCCCGGTTCGGTCCCGGTTCCCGTTGGTCCCTGTTCCTGTCGGTCCCGGTTCCTGTCGGTCCCGGTTCCCACTGCTCGGTCCCGGTTCCCGTCGGTCCCTGTTCCTGTCGGTCCCTGTTCCTGTCGGTCCCGGTTCCCCCGGTTCGGTCCCGGTTCCCGTTGGTCCCTGTTCCTGTCGGTCCCGGTTCCTGTCGGTCCCGGTTCCCACTGCTCGGTCCCGGTTCCCGTCGGTCCCTGTTCCTGTCGGTCCCTGTTCCTGTCGGTCCCGGTTCCCCCGGTTCGGTCCCGGTTCCCGTTGGTCCCTGTTCCTGTCGGTCCCGGTTCCTGTCGGTCCCGGTTCCCACTGCTCGGTCCCGGTTCCCGTCGGTCCCTGTTCCTGTCGGTCCCTGTTCCTGTCGGTCCCGGTTCCCCCGGTTCGGTCCCGGTTCCCGTTGGTCCCTGTTCCTGTCGGTCCCGGTTCCTGTCGGTCCCGGTTCCCACTGCTCGGTCCCGGTTCCCGTCGGTCCCTGTTCCTGTCGGTCCCTGTTCCTGTCGGTCCCGGTTCCCCCGGTTCGGTCCCGGTTCCCGTTGGTCCCTGTTCCTGTCGGTCCCGGTTCCTGTCGGTCCCGGTTCCCGGTGCCGATCCCGGTCCCTGTCACACTCCTGGTCTCCATCCCGGTCCCGGTGCCGATCCCGGTCCCTCTCACAGTCCCGATCCTGCTCCCGGTGCCGATCCCGGTCCCTGTCACACTCCTGGTCTCCATCCCGGTCCCGGTGCCGATCCCGGTCCCTCTCACAGTCCCGATCCTGCTCCCGGTGCCGATCCCGGTCCCTGTCACAGTCCTGATTCCGCTCCCGGTGCCAATCCCGGTCCCTGTCACCGTCCCGATCCCGATCCCGATCCTGTTCCTCGTCGCTGTCCCGGCTCTGTTCCCGGTGCCGGTGCCGGAGCCGCCGCAGCAGCAGCACCGCGTGGGACATGGCGGGGGCGGGGCTACGGTGAAATGGGCGTGGCTAATCGGGAGGGGCGGGGCCAGAGCCGGCCGGTCCCGGTGGCCGCGACACCCCGGGCGGTCGCTGTTTGTGACCGGGTCGGTGCCGCTAGGGGCGGCCAGCCCCGGTGCCGGTGCCGGTGCCGATCGATCCCGATGGCAGCGCCTGGGCCCGGTCTGTCCCAGTCGGTCCCGGTGCCGGTGGAGGCAGTCGGTCGCTGTCCCTGTCCCTGTACCGGTCGATGTCGGTGCCGGTAGGGGCGGTCTGTCCGTGTCCCGGCTCGGTCCCTGTTCCCGTCGGTCCCGGTTCCTGTCGGTCCCGGTTCCCACTGCTCGGTCCCGGTTCCCGTCGGTCCCTGTTCCTGTCGGTCCCTGTTCCTGTCGGTCCCGGTTCCCCCGGTTCGGTCCCGGTTCCCGTTGGTCCCTGTTCCTGTCGGTCCCGGTTCCTGTCGGTCCCGGTTCCCACTGCTCGGTCCCGGTTCCCGCTGGTCCCTGTTCCCGTCGGTCCCGGTTCCCCCGGCTCGGTCCCGGTTCCCGTTGGTCCCTCCCTGTTCCCGTCGGTCCCGGTTCCCCCGGCTCGGTCCCGGTTCCCCGGCTCGGATCCTCCCGGCTCCGCCAGGCCACGCCCCTCCCCCGCGCTCTGATTGGTCAACACTACCGTCACGTTTCCTGAAAGCCCCGCCTCCCCATCACTTCCGGCGCGCCGCCGCTCCCCATTGGCCGCCGCGAGGGCGGGACGTCTTTGTGCCAGACGCTATCCGGGCTGCTGCTGGGCGGGGCTTCGCAGAGCCTCGACCAATCGCGTCGCACCATTCCGTCCCTCTCGACCAATCAGCGCGCTTCATGGGCGTGGTCCCGCGTGAGGCGGGCATCGCCATTTTGTTGCCCTCGAGTACCGGGCGAGGGGCGGGCGCGGTGAGACTCGGGGGGCCCGGGACGGGCACGGAGGACCGGGAGGGGCTGGGGAGGAGCGGGGAGGGAGCCGGGGCCCTGCTGTCTGTGGGGAAAGATTGCACGGGTTCCCGCAACCTCGGGAAGGCGCCTAGGAGGTGGCTGAGACCCGGATGGGAGCGGGATGAGGTCTGGGGGAGACGCGGGTCCCCCTCCGTGGGGTGGGGGCTCACGGAGCACAACCGGGGCTGCGACTCCACTCGGGACTTGCCGGTCCCTGGAGGTCTCCCGGCTCATTGTGAGCCTGGGGGGGTCTCTCCTGAGGGGGTCTCTGCTTCGGGGTTCCCTGAAGGGCCCGCTGCCCCTGGGGGTGAGGGGGGCCCCATCGGGAATCAGCCGGAGGAGGACCTAGGAAAGGTGGGGGAACCTTCCCCCTCCCGGCAGCGGCTCCGACCCCTCAGCGGAACCGGATTGTGCGGGGAGGGTCTCCCTGAGGCCCCCCTTCCCTGCCGCCCCTCAGCCCTGGGCCCCTTTTTGGTACGGAGCTGCCCCAGAGCGCCCCCTGCCCGGGCGGGGACACCCCCGGCCTCACCCGCCCCTTTTCCAGCAAAATAAACTTCGTCACCGATTTCTGTCACCGAATTTCCGTACCGGGGCCGTGCCTGGAGCGGGGGGCGGAGTCTGCGGGGGGCGGGGCCGGCTCTGTCCAATCAGATCGCAGCGCCAGCGGCTTTTTAAAAATCTCGCGCGTAATATGCAAACTAGCTCCGATCCAGAGGGGGCGGAGCGAATGCAAATCGCGTGCGCGAGCGGCCAATCAGGTTGCCGAAAGGGAAGGGAGGAGTCTACGCCGAGAGAGAGGCGGGGTTATGCAAATTTAGACGCAATTTAGACCCCATTTCAGTCACGGACCGTGGGACTTATTTTGGCGCCCGGAACTTATTTCACAAATTCGCGTCGCTGTTTCTGCCCGGACTTGAGTGGCTCTGTGACGTCACTTCCGGCGCGCCGCCGTCTCCGGGGCTACCATGGCGCTCAACGGCGGTGAGGCACCGGCGGGACCCCCCGGGCGCGGATCCCCCCCGGGACCCCCCTTTCACCACCGGGAGTCACCCCAGAACCCCCACCCGCCCCCGGGACCGCCCCGAGCCCTGAGGATCCTCCCCTCCCCGCCCCGAGCACTGCGAGGGCGCGGCCGCGGCTTTTCGGGGCGCTCCCTCCGCCCCCCCGGAGCCCCCCGGTAGCGATCCCGGCGCGGACGCCGGGTGGGACGGCGGCGCCGGTGCCGCGGTGGCGGCGGCGAGGGCGGCGGTGCTGCAGAAGCTGCTCTGGGCCGCCCGGGAGCTGCCCCGCAGCGGCTGCGTGGAGGGCAGCGCCCGCCTCTGCCGCCTGGTGCGGGACTGCGCCCTCGCCCTGAGGGGGCTGCGAGACCTCGAGACCCCCGGGGGGCACGGCGGAGACCCCCCGGGGTACCCCGAGAGCCCCGCGACGCCGTGAGAGCAGCGGGGGGCACGGCGGAGCCCGCCTGGGATACCCCGGGACATCCCAAACCTTCCGCCCGCGAGAGCCCCGCCACAGCGTGAGACCCCCGGGGGGCATCCCCAACACCCCCGGGGCACCGGGAGACCCCCGGGACCCCTCCCAGGGCACCGGGAGACCCCCGGGGGGCATCCCAAACCCCCCAAGGGCACCGGGAGACCCCTGGGACCCCCCCCAGGGCACCGGGAGACCCCCGGGGGGCATCCCAGGCATCCCCCCAGGGCACCGGGAGACCCCCGGGGAGCATCCCAAACCCCCCCGGGGCACCATGAGACCCTCGGGAGTCACCCCAAACACCTCCCCAGGGCCTCATGGACGCCCCCCCCGGGACACCCTGAGACCCCAGGACACCGTGAGACCCCCGGGAGCTACCTGGGACCCTCCCCAGGACACCCTGAGACCCCCAGGAACCACCCTGAGACCCCCGGGAGCCACCCCCAACATCCCCCCAGGACACTCTGAGACTCCCAGGGCGCCCTGGACCCCCTGGGACACCCCGAGACCCCCGGGAGTCCCCCCAGGATATCCTGAGACCCCCAGGAGCCCCCCCAGGATATCCTGAGACCCCTGGGAGCCCCCGCAGGACACCCCGAGACCCCTGGGAGCCCCCGCAGGATATCCTGAGACCCCCAGGAGCCATCCCAGCACCCCCTGGGGACACACCAAGACCCCCAGGACACCCCGGGAGCCCCCCCAGACCCCCCAGGACAGCGGGACACATCCCAGGATGGAACGGGCTCGGTGTGCAATGGAGTTTGGGATAAAAGTGATTGTTGTAAAATAAATTTTATATAAAAGGGTTTGAAGTCAAATGGATTTGGCAGAAAAGAATTTGATTTAAAGCGAATTTGGGGTAAAGGGTTTGATGTAAAAAAGGGATTTGATACAAATTTGGTGTAAAAGGGATTTTTTTAGAAAAGAATTGGGTATAAAAAGGATTTGATATAAAAGGATTTTATATAAATTAAATTTGATATAAAAGGGTTTGATATCAAATAAGGTATAAAATGGATTTGATATAAAAGGAAATTGGTATAAAATTAATTTCATATAAAAGGGATTTGATATAAAATGGAGACAAAAAGGATTTTCTAGAAAATAATTTGTTATATATAAATTTGGTACAAAAGGATTTGATATAAAATAAATCGAATATAAAAGGTTTGATATAAAATAAATTGGATATAAAAGGGATTTGATATAAAATAAATTTGGTATAAAAGGGATTTGATATAAATTGGATATAAAAGGGGTTTGATATAAATTGGATATAAAAAGGATTTAATATAAAATAATTGGATATAAAAGGTTTGATATCAAATAAATTCGGTATAAAAGGCTTGATATCAAATAAATTCGGTATAAAAGGCTTGATATCAAATAAATTCGGTATAAAAGGCTTGATATCAAATAAATTCGGTATAAAAGGCTTGATATCAAATAAATTCGGTATAAAAGGCTTGATATCAAATAAATTCGGTATAAAAGGCTTGATATCAAATAAATTCGGTATAAAAGGCTTGATATCAAATAAATTCGGTATAAAAGGCTTGATATCAAATAAATTCGGTATAAAAGGCTTGATATCAAATAAATTCGGTATAAAAGGCTTGATATCAAATAAATTCGGTATAAAAGGCTTGATATCAAATAAATTCGGTATAAAAGGCTTGATATAAAATAAATTAAATATAAAAGGGATTTGATATAAATTGGATATAAAAAGGAATTAATATAAAATAATTGGATATAAAAGTGATTTGCTATAAAATAAATTGGAAATAAAAGGTAAAATATAAAATAAAATTGGTACAAAAGGATTTGATATTAAATAAATCAGATATAAAAACTGATGTAAAATAAATTGGATGTAAAAGGTTTGATATAAATTGGATATAAAAGGTTTGATATAAAATAAATTCGGTATAAAAGGCTTGATATAAAATAAATTTGGTACAAAAGGATTTGATATTAAATAAATCGGATATAAAAACTTTGATATAAAATAAATTGGATATAAAATAAATTGGATATAAAAGGGATATGATATAAAATACATTTGGTATAAAAGGGATTTGATATAAAATAAATCGGATATAAAAGGTTTGATATAAAATAAATTAGATATAAAAGGGATTTGATAGAAATTGAATATAAAAAGGATTTAGGGGGGGGGGACACAACAGAAACAGTGGGGGGGGGAAGCCGGGGGGTCCCTGGGTGTCACTGGGGTCCCCTGGGGGTCTCTGGGTGACATTTGGGTCCCTGGGTGCCCCCAGGTGACATCAAGGTCCCCTGGGGTGGGTGACACTGGGGTCCCCGTGTGTCCCCATGTGTCCCCAGGTGTTCCCGGATGCCCCTTACTGTGCCCTGGCTGTCCCCCTGTCTGTCCCCTGTGTCCCCAGCTGTCCCCTGGCTGTCCCCAGCTGTCCCGGGTGTCCCCCTGTCTGTCCCGGGTGTCCCCGTGTCCCGTGCCCGACCCGCGGTGTCCCAGCTGTCCCCAGTGTTCCCAGTGTACCGGGTGTCCCATGGCTGTCCCCAGTGTCCCCCTGTCTGTCCCCGTGTCCCGTGCCCAGCCGCTCTGTCCCCTGTCTGTCCCCGGTGTCCCCAGTGTCCCCCTGTCTGTCCCGGTGTCCCCGGTGTCCCCATGTCCCCCTGTCCCGTGCCCAGCCGCGCTGTCCTCTGGCTGTCCCCAGTGTCCTAGCTGTCCCTGTCCCCGGTGTCCCCAGTGTCCCCCTGTCTGTCCCGTGCCCACCCGCGCTGTCCCCTGTCTGTCCCCGGTGTCCCCAGTGTCCCCCTGTCTGTCCCCAGTGTCCCCCTGTCTGTCCCCAGTGCCCCCGTGTCCCCAGTGTCCCCTGGCTGTCCCCAGTGTCCCGGGTGTCCCCGGTGTCCCCTGTCTGTCCCCGCGTCCCGTGCCCACCCGCGCTGTCCCCTGGCTGTCCCCAGTGTCCCCAGTGTCCCCTGTCTGTCCCCGTGTCCCGAGCCCAGCCGCGCTGTCCCCAGTGTCCCCGGTGTCACCCTGTCTGTCCCCAGTGTTCCCAGTGTACCGGGTGTCCCCGGTGTCCCCCTGTCCTGTGCCCACCCGCGCTGTCCCCTGGCTGTCCCCAGTGTCCCCGTGTCCCCAGTGTCCCCTGTCTGTACACAATGTCCCCGTGTCCCCAGTGTCCCCTGGCTGTCCCCAGTGTCCCCTGTTTGTCCCCGTGTCCCGAGCCCAGCCGCGCTGTCCCCGCAGGAGTCGCGGGGTCGCCGCTCGGTGGTGGCCGCGGCGCCGCTGGAGCTGGGGCGCCTGGCGGGGGTCGGGGACACCCCCCTGTCCCTGTCCCTGCGCCCCCGCACCCGCAAGGTGACAACGGCCACGCTGCGCCTGCGGCTGCGCGGGCTCGTCCTCATGGAGGGACACCCCACGTACGGCTCTGGGGACAGCGGGACACTGGGGACAGCGGGGACATCGGGGACAGGGGGACATCGGGGACATTGGGGGAACACGGGGACAGCGGGGACATTGGGGGACATCAGGGACATTGGGACATTGGGAGAACACGGGGATACTGGGGACATCGGGGACAGGGGGACATCGGGGGCACTGGGGACGTGTCCCCGGTGTCCCCCTGTCCTGTGCCCACCCGCGCTGTCCCCTGGCTGTCCCCAGTGTCCCCGTGTCCCCAGTGTCCCCTGTCTGTACACAATGTCCCCGTGTCCCCAGTGTCCCCTGGCTGTCCCCAGTGTCCCCTGTTTGTCCCCGTGTCCCGAGCCCAGCCGCGCTGTCCCCGCAGGAGTCGCGGGGTCGCCGCTCGGTGGTGGCCGCGGCGCCGCTGGAGCTGGGGCGCCTGGCGGGGGTCGGGGACACCCCCCTGTCCCTGTCCCTGCGCCCCCGCACCCGCAAGGTGACAACGGCCACGCTGCGCCTGCGGCTGCGCGGGCTCGTCCTCATGGAGGGACACCCCACGTACGGCTCTGGGGACAGCGGGACACTGGGGACAGCGGGGACATCGGGGACAGGGGGACATCGGGGACATTGGGGGAACACGGGGACAGCGGGGACATTGGGGGACATCAGGGACATTGGGACATTGGGAGAACACGGGGATACTGGGGACATCGGGGACAGGGGGACATCGGGGACACTGGGGACATCGGGGACATTGGGGACAGGGGGACATCGGGGACATTGGGGGAACACGGGGACAGCGGGGACATTGGGACATTGGGAGAACACGGGGATACTGGGGACATCGGGGACAGGGGGACATCGGGGACACTGGGGACATCGGGGACATTGGGGACAGGGGGACATCGGGGACATTGGGGGAACACGGGGACAGCGGGGACATTGGGACATTGGGAGAACACGGGGATACTGGGGACATCGGGGACAGGGGGACATCGGGGACACTGGGGACATCGGGGACATTGGGGACAGGGGGACATCGGGGACATTGGGGGAACACGGGGATACTGGGGACATTGGGGACAGGGGGACACTGGGGACACTGGGACAGCAGGGACAGGGGGACATTGGGGACATTGGGGGAACACGGGGACAGCGGGGACAGAGGGGACATCGGGACACAGGGTGAACACGGGGGCATTGAGGACATTGGGGGAACACGAGGACAGGGGGGCATCGGGGACATTGGGGGAACACGGGGACAGAGGGGACAGAAAGGACACCAGGGACAGGGGGGACATTGGGACACAGAGTGAACATGGGGACATTGGGGACATTGGGGGATTGGGGAATCTGGGACCATTGAGGGGACATTGAGGACATCGGGGACATTAAAGGGACATTGGCGACAGGGAGGACATTGCAGGGACATTGAAGGGACATTGGGGACATTTGGGGATTGGGGACATTGAGGGGACACAATGACTTTGGGGACATCGGGAGGGGGGAGTCTTGGGGACATCGAGGGACTTTGGGGACATTTGGAGGGGCCTGGGGTTCTTGGGGACACCTGGGTGGGTCCCTTTTGGGGCTGGGGGGGGCCTTGGGGACCCCCTGGGGACACTGTCCCCCCTCCAGGGACGAGGACATGCAGAGTGTCACCAGCCTGAGCCCCCCCGGGGACGTGGCCGACCTGGGGGACTTCGAGAGTGACCCCGAGGATGAGGGGGGGGCGCACAGGGCGGGGGGCGCCCCCCCCGCGCCCCGAGGTGGGTCCCCAAGGTGTCCCCAAAGTGTCGGGGGCCCCCTCACCGCGGGGGGGCGGGGGGGCCCCCCCCCCGGGGGGGGGGGGGGGGGGGGGGGGGGGGAGGGGACACACGAGCCCAGCCCCCCACCCCGGGGGTCCCTGACCGGCCTCTCCCCCAGCGCCCCCCCGCAGCGGGGACCCCCCCGGTTTGGGGACACGGAGGGACCCCCCGGAGCCGGGGGGGGACCCAGTGACCCCCCCCGAAATCACCGCGGTGAGTGGGGGGGGGGGGGGACCCCTGAATTGGGGAGGGGGGGAAGTTCGGGGACCCCCTGAATGGAGGGGA